AGATTTGGCTCAATACCAGTGTCTCTCACGAAGGATATTCTTTAGTTGGGACTAATAACAGTGTCTCATTAAAAAAGAATAGTTTCAAGTTTTGCTCAATGCCAGTAACTCATCAAGATAGACATCCATCAGCTTGGCCCCATGTCAGTGACTCAAAAGGAGGATAATTCCATAACAAATGATCAAAACTTAAACACCGAATAAGATGAAACGGAAACTATTTATTTTACTCGATTGCATGTATACATATGATTTGTTTGGCACTACGATTCAAAGGTATTTTATTGTAATATTTCAATTAACTGATTGACACAAAACATTTACTGACTATGATAAAGAATTAAAAAGCAAAACATTGACTCAATTGTGAAGATTGACAAAAATTAAACGAAATTATGCTTAACGGCAATACAAAAAAAGTAAAAGATAAAGATTAACAAAATAATTACTAATGCCCCGGTCACACATTCACGGATTGTCTCGCCGGATCCACTACGGGTGGAAATTCACGGTTAACCCCGGAATAGTCTATATCCGTGGTCCGTTGCGGATACACCACGATTTGACTACGGATAGGGGCTAGTTGACAACGGGAAGTGATACGGATTGCTACGGTTGGTACGGTTTAGTACTGAATGACACGTGTCACGGCGTATGCACTGCGGATTAACAACGGTTCGCTGCGATTTCAGTACGGGTTAGCACAAATTAAAACGGTCTGGCACGGATAACTACGAACTCGCACGGACCTGCACGGTAAGCAATCCGTACAAACTCCCGCGCTCGCGTGTTCATTTCACAACCTTTATTTTAATTTTAGTACGGTTTAGTACAATTAAGTACGTAGTTCACCGTAACACCGATCCTTCGCGCCTTGAGGCCGGGGATGTACTACGAATAAGGAGGGATAATTACGGGTTATTACGGACTACAGCAGATTCGTGCGTTCTGCTACGGATTAGTAAGGATGCACTACGGTTCTCTGATCAGTGGTGAATTTTTGAACGTGCTCAAAAATTGTCCCGGATATACAAGTACTACTACGATTGACCCAGGATACAATACGGACAGCTACGGAGAAGATTGCCACGAATGATGCCGGATCGTATTCATGGCTAATCTGGCGTCCGATCTGTGAATGTGACCGGGGAATAAGAAGCAGAGCTGAAAAATATAATCTCGCACAACATAGAGTTGACTGAATAACAAAGATTGGCACATTACAAATTACTAAATTATGAAGATTAACAAAACACCTACTAAGCAATAAAGATTTACGCAATAAAAATGTAACTCAATAATTAAGATTCACACAGCAAGGCTGGCGTTCAATAATTATGATTATCACAAAAATGTAGACTAATTATTAAGATTAATTCAAAAATTGTAGCTTAATAATTGAAATTGACACAACAATCTGTTGCTAAATAATTAAGATTGACCCAACAAAACTGTTACTAAATAATTTAGATTGACACAGCAAAACAGTGCTAAATAGTTAAGATTGGCACAACAAAACTGTTGCTAAATAATTTAGATTGACACAGCAAAAAAGTTGCTAAATAATTAAGATTGACCCAACGAAACTGTTGCTAAATAATTAAGATTGACACAACAAAACAGTTGCTAAATAATTAAGACTGACACAACAAACCTGTTGCTAAATAATTAAGATTGACACAATAAATCTGTTGCTAAATAATTAAGATTGAAACAATAAAACTGTTGCTAAATAATTAAGATTGACACAACAAAACAGATGCTAAATAATTGAGATTGAAATAACAACATTCCATTATTTAATTCAGATCGGAACAGCAACTGATGCTAATGAAGTAAAATTGACACGACAAACCTGTAACCTAATAATAAAGATAAACACAACAAAACTGTTGCTATTTAAGTGAAATTGAAACAATAAACTGACACTAATCAATTTAGATTCATACAACAGAACTGCAACAAAATAGTTAAGAATAACACAACAAAATGTTGCTCATTAATAAAAATTAAAACAATAAAACAGTCACTTAATAATAAAGATTGAAAAAATGCTGCAACAATGCTGTTGCTTCATTGTGAAGATTGATACAACAAAACAGCCGCCCAATAATTAAGATAGACAAAGTTAACATTAACTAACTAATGAAGAATAAAACAAACAAAACTGTAATAATAAAAATAAACATTTCTGTAAAATTTACAAAGTAAAATCAAATAAAAAATAGAAGAAAGAACTGAAACATTAGGATTTACACAACAAAATTGAAAAGTCCTTAAGAGGCTTTTCAACAAAGGGAAATAATTCCGATTTAAACAATTTCTGTTATAAGAAAAAAATTCTACAATTGAATTGAATTGAAAAAGAGCACATGAAAACATTTTATAGATTTATAGATATTATTTGTGATATATAATGATAATTCACAAAAAGAACATCTGAACATTTCATAGATATTCTTTGTGATATATAAGAACTATCCCCAAAAAGAGCACATGCAAATATTTTATAGTTATCATTTGTGATATATAATGTTCATTCACAAAAAAAACATCTGAAAACATTTTATAGATATAATTTGCTATATATAGTGAAAATTTACACAAAACAAAACTTTGTGACATATAAGCTAATTCACAAAAAAACACATTTGAAAACGTTCTATATATATAATTTGTGATATATAATGATAATTCACACACCAACAGAAAATACATCTGAAAATATTATAAAAATATAATCTATGACATATTAAGATTATTTACCAAAAACATCCGTAAACTTTATATAATTATAATATGATAAATTGAGATAATTCACCAAAAACATTTGTAAACATATACAATTATACAGAGTTATAATTTGTGATACATATTATAACAATAACATCTGTAAACATTATATAATTATAATCAGTGTTATGTAGAAAGTTTACCAACGCCTATAAACAAATGGTCAGTGTTAATAAACATGTCAAATTAATGTTATTTTTACCAAAGTAACTGAACGAACTAATAATGGATTCTCAGAGATTTTCCAAAATATTTCTTTGCAAATAAACCGAAGAATGATGAATTTGGAAATTTCTAGTTTCGTCTTTCTGTCGCCTTTTTAATCGATTTTGTTAGCTAAACGTCCTCCTCAATAATTGCAATAAAATAATATCAATGCTATTATAAATCGCGATCGTAATATTTTCTCTTGCTCATAAAATAAATTTGACTTTCAATAGAAAACAGTTAAAAGGACAGTTATCAACGATTGACCATAAAACACTTATAATTTCTATGTTTGTGCTAGCCATTATGTGATTTGTCCTGTATTTGAAATAATTGAATAAAGTAACATTTTGATTTAAATTACATAAGAAAACAAAATCAAACAAAACAAGGTTGTTTCATTATCATAAGAAAATAACATGCAACTAATAACTGATTGAAGATCGTAAAGCAAAAAATGATTTTTTTTTTCTTTCAAATACAATATTCTGTTAAAGTGGCGATTTGCGTGCTATGGAAATACTCGCGTTTATTTTTTCGTGGAGTACGCTAGCACGAAAATATCCACTTGCGAGTAGATATATGTAGATTAAAGATAAATATATATATAAATATAAAGATTAAAGAACCATTTCCAACTTGAAAACGCCCGCGATCAGTAAAAGAGTCGCCTTACGAATAATTCTCATTTACAGCACTTACAAGATAATGGGCTTCAACACATCAACTAGGAAACAAATAGTTCCTGATCAGTGATATTATAAATTTTATGCAGGAAACATGGGAATGTACTACTTCTATATAGTATAATGGAGGGTATTAAATTCATACAAGTAAAACTTAATAATTAAAATATGAATATTCCAAACTGGTTACATGAACCAATATTACAGGCATGCCACCTATATAAAGAACTGTGTAACAGTAGAACGTGAAATAATAATTCACTAACTGAAAATCTTTTGCATAAGGATATGAACCTTTAACCCTTTATGCTGTTTTTTGTTTACAAAAATGGTTTTCAAATCTATTGAAAAAACCAAGGTATACAGTAACAAATTCGCAACATACACACAATCTGGATAAAGCATGGCTCATGATATCCTTGGCTATGTCTCTATTTGCCATTTGTATTAATAATGATAAAAATGAGAAGAAACAACTTCTTACAGCGAAGTTGAAAATGACCAAAACAATAAAAGGCAATTTCAAGTTATTATTTTTACAAATCAGTAGAGATGAAATAAAACAACTTACCCAATAATAAGCAACAACACCTACTAAAGGTACAGCATATGCTTTCAAAATATATACAAAATAAAAGTTTTCGTATAAAGGATTTTATGTCAAGACTAAAAATGAATGTAACACTATGTTTCTCTAATACAGAAATAGCCTGTTTACTACTTCTTGGAAAGCCAAAAATCCTAATAACAAACGTTTCCTCTGGTACATCGACGTGGTCATTCTTTTCGCCGCCCCTATCAATTTTCTCTACTTTCTTCGGTAGCCCGAGGCTCAAAGTTTTATGACCTTCAATTTCCTTCGGTAACCCGAGGTTCAGCTTTTCCTGGTCGCCAGTTTCCTTCGGTAACCCGAGGCTCAGCTTTTCCTGTCCTCCAGTTTCTTTCGGTTGCCCTAGGCTCTGCTTTTCCTTTCCTCCAGTTCCTTTCGGTTGCCCTAGGCTCAGCTTTTCCTGTCCTCCAGTTTATGTCGGTTGCCCTAGGCTCAACCTTTCCTGTCCGCCAGTTTCTGTCGGCTACCCGAGTTCCAACATCTCCTGTCCCCCAGTTCCCTTCGGTTTCCCTGAGGTCGAAATCTCCTGTCCCCAAATTATTTTTGGTTTCCCAAAGGTCATCATCTTCTGTCCCCAAGTATCTGTTTTTCACTGTTCGCCTTTTATCACCAAATTGCGACATAAATTGACTTTGTGGTTCATCTGGTCCTGCAGTAAACTCACCCAAGGTAGCTACATATGGCTCCAGCTGTTCGAAAAAAGATGGTACATCAAATGTGTAAGGATAAGATTGTGATGGAATAAAGACTCTAGGGGTAATTTACTTGTTATTGCTAGTCATACGTTTCCTGAGTGCTTATTGCATATCATGTGATATATGGGTTCAGCTTATCAACTGATGAACTGCATAAATGTAATTTTAATACACTTCACCTATGCATTATTTTAATGATAGAAAAATATATAAATACTACTGTTTATAACAAAACATTACGTCACAAGATATTGTAAAACACAAAGCTCGTCTGGAAAATGGTGTATTAATTCGTTCAAATCAAAACAACATACCGGCATATTTATATGCAAATATATATGAGGAATATATAGTCATTTGACTGCAGATGGAATATTAATTAATTGAAACTGCATTTTGAAGATGTATATCCGGAAGAATAAACCATCATATAGAAATAATCCTGCTAAATTCACACCTACCCCGGTACTTTGTTCTAATTGCTGTCTACTCTCTTGTCGACTTCGTGTGTTACCATCTTTGTCTTTCACTTTCTTTGATGCAATCTGGTTGCGTATTTCTTTCATAAGGTGAAGCTATCAAAAAACAGAAACGAAGCAGTTAAACATAAATCAACAGGATGAGAAATATTTAAACGTAATATACAAGTTGAAATAAAGTGGACATACCGTATCAGTACCGTAGTTGAAGTCAGGCTTGTGGTATGTACAATGTAAGAAGGTATATCGAGGTGGACAGGTATATTTCTCTAGACCGAGAGATGTAGGCCTAGTCGAGTGGATCTAGAAACGTTCTAAAGCCAAACAATTCGTACTCCTGTTTACTGTAACTGTTTTGTTATACTAATCAAAGCACTATTCTTACTTTAGTTTAAAACATAACCTATTGAACGCTCATGCTATCGGCTGCAATTTTTTTCATGGTTGGTAAATACTGGGTCGAGTCAGACCATTTCAAGCTCCACACGCATTTCCGTGAGACTGTTACGGTAACTGACAAGGGAGAGCTAGTCTGCAGAGGTGTTTTCGATTTCGGACTAACACAGAGCTGATAAAGAACTAACATTTTGGGCAGGTAAATAAGGGCAAACAATGGAATGCAGTTATTTAATTTTTGTATACATAAGTCAAACAGAAGTATATTAAATTACTATAACACTCTTGCTCCTCTAACGACTCGCACTATCTTACCATCTCAACAGTCCATTTGGTCCCAGATGAACATCCCAGACAATTATCTCCTGCATAGGATGAAGGTCGGACATGACCTTTGAAATATATGCAAAGAATTGTAAACAAAGAAAAAGTTAACATTAACTTTGAAATTTCCTATAAAAAACAATCTAGGGTGGAAATCAACTGATCGCTTTGAATTTGTTTTAAAAGTTTTCTTTATTTACTTTTGTTCTTTTGTTTTATCAAACTTTGAAGGTACACATATATGAATTAAAAAACCGAACATTTTAATAAACAGAATTGAATACAAGAAGGTAAAATAAATTCAAATAAAAAACATTTGAATAAAAGAGAATACATATAACATATATACATACATAGATTAAGATAAAAAGTATCCAAGATCTACCGCTAGACGTCTCTGCTTTCTAGGGTTTGTTCAGGCGGACTGATGTGATATATATATATGTGACTTAACACAAAGTTTACATATCTAAGAGTTACAAAACTCGTTCAAATAAAGGAAACATAGGGTAAGTATAATGTAGTCGCATCCCAAAACGAACAAAATTACGGGGTTATGTCAACATTATACCTTTAATGCAGCGTGTCCAGTCGTCCAAATGTATGCTGACACCTCGCAGCTCCGGACAGTCAAGCGACTGGATGGCCTCGGATGAGTCCGTAAGGAACGGCAACAGAAGTTCACGGAATTTCGATAGATCACTTTGCGTGAATGTCTGTTTTGTTATAACAAAAATCTCCACTTCCGTCTGCGTCTGGAGTTCTGTTGTTATTGCTTCGGTTGCAATGCTGGTTTTGTGGTTCATGTGTTGTTTTTTAAGTGAATGTTTAATCCTTTTATCACCATTTTCGCCTTCGATTTGGACGTTATCGTCGGCAATGTCGTGGTCGTCGTCATCATCATCATCATCATCATCATCATCATCATCGTTTTGATGCTCACCATCTGCAGCATCATCATCAGAATCGTCGTCCGATCCATCACTGTCATCAGACTCATTGCCTTTTGAGTACATGTGTATCAACAACTGAACAGCAGTTAACTTCCGCAATCTTTCATTAAAGGTAGCAAACACACTGGATCGTGTAGCAATGGGAAGGTCATCCAGAAACGCCGACAAACTTTGTATTGTGTACCTTAGCCATTCCTGCCATTTAATATGATGATTTTTGTCTGTGTTGAGATTTTCGTTGAGGTACAAGAAAGTACTCAGCCTCCGTAAGTATGTTCGGATATCTGAGACTCCCCCTGCTACCATTGGGAATCGTTGCTGTTTTGTACAGCCTTTTAAACATGATAACAGAATCTTTTTGACAGCGTCTATGGCATGCCATTGCTGTTTCAGCTGATGACTATATCTCGGATGCCAATGCATAACTTTGTCGCAAGATGGACATCGCAAAACACTGAAACCATTTTCGGTATCTTCCTTTAACAGTTTATCTAACAACGAAGCATCATGCTCATGGCCACAGTCTAAAAGTCGTACCAGACGTATGTCCTCGTTGCATGTCTGAGTGAACTCATTTCGTCTGTCAGGCTCACATACAATGCAGAGTCTCGGACAAGGTTCGCCACAGTAACCCATGCACGGATGCGAACATTTCAACATAAGTGGGCACCGAAGATTACACGGAGGCCTGTTACATTCCTCGTGACATAAGCGAGAACAGTTGTGATGAGGACACTGTAGAGAGCACGTCTCTTTGCAGGGCGGACAGTCTTGTGAGCACGGATGTTCACATTTGCGATGCGGACAGTATCTCTCACATTCGTTGGAGCAAATGGAACACAATCCGCATGTTGCACTCTTGCAATGATGGCCGCACACGAGAAGTTTGTTGCATGGTTGTGTGCAATATGCGTGGAAAAGTTTCTTTGAACAGTCGTCGTCTTTTCCAGTACAGTGGTGTCCACATGATAAGATGTGAGGACAGCATCCTTTTGAACATTGCCGCACAGTCTCGGACAAATGACACTGAGTCGTTTCAGAATGGCCACACGCAAAATGCAATGTCACTTCGGTAAAACATGTCAGCTTACATTTGTATAATCTTTCAGCTTTTTCCATTTCAACTCCATGCATATTTTCCTCACAAGAAACCGTCTTTTGATGTCCACATTTTGTTAAAGTAAGCGTCTGGAGACAATGCAGATATAGTGCTGATGCCCAACAGAACATTTCTGTTACATGTCCACATTTCTGAAACTTCTTTGTTATCCTCTTCATGCAAGTTACTGGGGCGTCCATTTTGTTGCAAGGGACAAGCTGTTGATGGCCACATGGAATGGTCTTTAATACATTCACAGTACACGTAACGTTTCTTGCTGAACACTCTTGATCTTGTTTGTGTCCACAGACGAGTGTCTTGTGCACGATAGTTTTGCATAGCATGGAGCGTGAGGGGGTCAATGAGCACATCATCGCAATCATGTGACCACACAGAGGGTGTTTTTTGGGAACAATTTCCTGACATTGTTGCGTCTGAGGGGATTCTTTGCATTTCATGTTTTGTGAATGACCACAAAGAGGGATTACTTTAGAAACAATTTCTTCACAGGGTACTTGCAACCACGCCGGGTCGTCTTCTGAGTGGCATTCTATCAGCAATTGATGACCACATTTCGGCAATATCTTCTCAACTAGAAATTCACACTTACAGGGAGTTTGAAAGTGACACAGTTTGCTGCAAGAGTGCCCATGATGACACTGGAAGGTGCAGGGCTTTATACAGTTAGCATACCGAGAACCACGACACATCACTTCCTCAACATGCATGCACAGGAATGTTTTTGTTACGAGTTCCTGACATAAGTTTTCGCGTTGATATGTTTTTGAATCTTCGTGACAGGCAATTTGATAACGGTGTCCACATGCCCCACCAACAAGTGACACTTTCTGTTGACATTTAAAGTCGAAGTTTACGTTCGAACAGGGCAATTTTGCAGTGTGTCCGCAGTCCACGAGTATTTTTGTGACTAAAACTTCACAAGAGTTCCTAGCTGGATCCGCATGGCACTTCATTTCAGCTTGGTGACCACAGGGGAGAACTTTATTCACAAAGACAGAACAAACACAAACTTCCGAAAATTCACAACACCGCACAGTTGTGACATGCCCGCAATGAAGAGGTTTCTTCATAATTTTTTGACAGTTGCATAACTTCCCGAGGTGACATGGTTTATTACAAGGATGACCATTAGGGCAAGTCTCAGTACATACTGCCTTGCATTTATATGCGGTATGTTGTCTGTCCATTGGATGGCAAGCCAGACGACATGAATGACCACACGGTAGTATGAATCCACACGGTATCTGACATCCGCCATCAGGTGCTCTGGCAAAGTCTGCAGATGCTGTCACCTGTACCCCGTCTTCATGTGGGCGGTTTTGGCAAAAAAGAGGCAGGGGATCACCGAACTGCTCTGCTTGTTTGACTTTGTTTACAATATGTGACCATTGTAAACTGCACGCAACAAACATGTCAAAGTTTCCAATGACATACAGTCCTTTCTTAGCTCGGGAGAGAGCGACACATATCCTGTTCGACCTGGAGAGAAACCCAATCTTTCCTTCTTTATTGCTTCGGACGAGTGACAGCAGAATTATATCGTTTTCCTCTCCCTGAAAGTTGTCTATGGCAACAGTTTTGACGCCCGTGAATTCCTCTTTTGGCATGCAATGACGAATAGAAAACATCTGACCAGTGTAGGCAGCTAACACTGTAATCTGATTGCCCTCGTATCCTTGCTTAAGCAAATATCTGCACAGCTCAGAGATAAACTGTGCCTCGTGCCTGTTTGAATAGCTTTTAATGTCATCTGTGTAATCCTCAGGACGGTTGTGATTTATGAAGAACACGTCTTTTTTCACTCCCTTGATATGCTCATAATCCAGAACATTTTCATTATCCTCCAAAACAGGGTATATATCCCGAACAAGTGTTGATATCTCTGGTCGCATTCTATGTTGCCGGTGTAGACAATGGTTTTCAATTCCATTGTTCAACATGCGTTCAAACATTGAAAGAGACAGGTTGTATTTCATTGCCAGTTGCATGACTGAAGGTTTCGGCTCTAGTTGTTTATGATCCCCTATCAGAATGAGGTGTTCACACTTTGGATTGAGAGCGGTGACAATGTGGGCCTCTAACACTTCCGCAGCCTCTTCTACAATTACGATCTTTGGACCAATTTCTTGGAGAATGTCATGATAACGTGCGGCACCTGTTGTCGTCATGGCAATGACTGTTGATTTTTTGAAGATTCTTGCATCTGATTCTTTTTTCTCTTTTTTGTAATCTTTCATAATTTGCAAGTGTTCTTTTTCTACGTGCGGCATTTTTTCAAGTTGCATTTTCTTGTATGTGTCAACCCAGAAACGATACAGCCTCCATCGTCTTTCTAGCTTGAGCTTGTTCAGACTACCACGGAGTGATTTGACTTCCATTGCTCTCATCATATTCACAGAACACAATTTCGACAATGTGATGTCTGCTTCCTGCTTCAAAAATGATTTCAATGCGTCATCTATTTGTGGCATATACTCATGTTTCGGTTTCAGGATATTTTGAATTTCCTCCTTGATATCAAGCCCAATCTTCACATGGGTTGCTAAATGAAGGTCGTCGTCGTCGATACGCCTCTCTTCTTCAGCTTTATCGGCTTCTGTGTCTATGAAATCCTGATTAACTGCAGTTTGTCGATTGGCGTGGTCATGCTTTGGTTGTTTTGTTGTTTTAAGTGATTTCTTGTATGCTTGGCTGGCCTTTTTTATCCATGGGCCTTTTCCTGCCTGTAGCCACTGGTAAAGTTTTTGAGATGATGCATGGGGTGTATCACAGACGAATGCATTCGCGTGCCTTTGCGACATGGCAGGCCTAAGTATCTCGAATTCCAGTATTGTGGTTTGCAGGTTTCGTAAGCTGAAATAGATCGTTAACAGTTGAGTGTGTAGCTGGGTTGCAGTCTTTTTCAGCTTTGCAAGTTTAGTGTAGTCACAGTGAAGGTCTTTTTTGTGATACTTCAGGCTAAAAGGGTCGATTGTTGGATTTTTACATTGATTGCCTACTCGCACTATTTCATTTTGCAAGAGCTCCTTGTTTTCGCCTTCAAAACAACCAACAATTCCTTCAAGGAATTGATCGAGGGCATGGTTTGTGAAACAAACTACAAGCAATTGGTTATTCTTTTGATCTGAGTTTTTTCCCAATAGTCTAGTAGTTAATAAACCTGCCTCCTCTGTTTTGGAAGGCTGACTCCATCCGTTTTTGTTATGCAGGAGAGTTTTTACAATCTGGATGCCAACATGTGTTTTTCCAGTGCCTGGTGGACCTTGTATAAGAACAAACTCCTGCGTTAGGGCAGCATGGTAAGCTACGTACTGGGACTGGTCGAGGTGGAGAACATCAGCCGTTGGCCACTGGCTCATAGGGTCATGTAGTCTAACTTGGAGATTATTCTCTGTTTTCCTTTCAGTATCTAATGCTGTTGTCAGGAGTCGGTCAGAAGCAATTGGCTCCAAGTCATATTTTGACGAATCATTTTGTAGGTACCTAGGTGGATTCATGCTGTTTTTACAATCAACGATGTATTGTTCTAACGGGAGTTTTTCTATGCTCTGCAGACCTTCTAGAACGTGCCGGTAACTTTCGAAGAAAGCAGAAGATTCAACCATTGTATATTTAGTATTGAGTTGAATTTCGGTAAAAGTGGGGAAAATAGCAGGAAAAATGTATGATACAGCGAGCATTTGTCTGTCCGGGCTTTCAACTACAGCAAATTCCATTGTATGGAAATTGTCGGCCGAGAAACAAAGAAGCGATCCGTGCAAAAGTCTTTTGGAAGACTTCCAATTAATTTTCTGGGCATGTTGACTATCAAGTGTAACTTGGAATAGTTCCTCTTCCAAGTAGTGGCCATGTTTCTTTACTATTACATTCCTGTAAAGCCTCCCGTTCTGAAGTTGGCGAACATGGCATCCAGTGCTCGTCTCTTGCACGTACTGGGTGATACCTTCGCGTAAGGGACAGATGCAGTCTTCTCTTAATAGGCGGAACTGGACGTCCAAGTAATGATTCAGGTCGTCGTAGCCACCACGTGATTTATTTTTACGTAGAAATGAACCGCGAGATCTTAAAAAGATATCGACAACTCTGGGTAGTATTGGGATGTTACGGAAGTCGTCTGGCGGGGCTTGTCTCTCAAACGGAAACCGAGGATCGTCTTGAGGACAAGACACTAATACCTTCATGACATTGTCTCTCATTTCTGATAGCTTTTCTGACAATTTTACAAAACGTTGTCGTTGTTCTTCTGTAGATGTCATAAGTATGTCTTCTGTTTTTTTCTTTAAGATGATAATCAGAGAAAAAGCGTTGTTGAACAAGTTCGGAAGCAGCTGATGCACTTGGTGAAGTATTTCAACTAAATTATCAATAAATCTGAGAGCGTCTTCTCCTTCAGTATGCCATGTAAACGTTGATGACGTAGCTACCAGCTCGCACATGAAAAACTTTGAACCAACCAGGATGGTGAGGAGATCTATGACGCCTACTTCATTCGTCTTGCACTGTGAGGCCTTTAGCAGGACTAACACCATTTGTATTACGTAATCAGGTGCTAGTCCTGGCCGACTCAAGGTCAACTCTGTCTGCTGTCTCTCTTTGGTAACTAGGAAATCCAGGACGTCTGCGCATGTCTCCGATTCAGTGAGTAACGATGTCAACTGATCGCCAGTGAACATTTGTGGCTCTTTTCCCCATGCCATTTTAAAATCCTGTCGGTATGAGGGATATTATCTACTTACAGTTTCATGTCGTTGTAGCTAAGCTTCTTTTTTGCGCTTGAATTTACACCCTCTGTAATAGAAACACCGTATGTAATTCAGTCGATCTCGTCTTTAAATGTTGTGGTATACAAATTAGTGTATTAAGAATTCCCGTATCACTGCCAAAAAAGACTTTTGCTTTGATAACCATTTAAGGGAAAAAGTATGCATTGCGTTTTACTTTATGCAAAATGAATAGAGAAGGAACAAATAAACAAAAACAAAAAAGATAAAAACAATCAGCGAGTGATCGAAGTGAAAACAAAATCAGCGTGGCTAAACCAGAATTCAAATCCTGGACCTCGAAATGCTATATTGTCCTCGATCCGACTGAGTAACTGGATAACAGAAGAGTTCTTGACCAACTAAGCAATAGTCATAACCGAAACGAAATCAATGGGAAATTACTGTATTTACGTGAAACCACAGTGCAATGGGACAGGAAACCTTAAGGAAGATTATCAATTCAAAAATTTAAAACGAGTATCATAAATATAAATATGTTGACAAACGAATGACAGATTCCCTTTATCATATGAAAAATTTGAAAAATCGTAAACGAGTTTCATCAATCTTATATGAAGGGAAACGAATGACAGATTCTTTTTATCATTTAATACAAAGCAAACTGTATGATTGTGATCTGCAACGAATATTTTGCACTTAGCCACCTCTGAAACGATGAAAATTGCGTCTGCTTCAAAATGACGTGACGTCACATTGACTGTTCCTATTCGGTTGTGACGTCATATGAATACCATGTTCTGCAGTGTCATAAAGCCATCACATAAATTATGTTTATGTAACGTGTGTAATATCACTCCGGAATTGAGGTCACAATCGAATATTGTGTTTACTCAATATTCAGAACGGGAGACAGTTTTGTTTTTATATTGTTTTGTATAAAATGAAATATTATTGAAAAAGTCATATTATAAACGAACGTATTTCAGCATTCTCAAAGTTTAGCGTATTATCGAATTTTGATAGATTAGCGAATTTATGCATTGGTACACCCCGAAAATATTCAATTCCGTCTTTTCGTATTGCAGAGTTATCTTCTCTTGTGAGTAGGTATTGATTGTTACGTCATTGGTTTGTGAGAGGAACGTCATCAATTGTTGAGAAAACGACGTCATTTTCTCACACAAACCAATGACGTAACAATCAATACCTGCTCACAAGGGAAGATAACTCTGCAATATGCAAAGACGGAATAGAAAAAAATACAATAATTTCGATAGGCACTTTCATAATTTAGCGCTTAAATTATAGCACGAAAAGCGTTACCACGAGACTGCCGCAAAAATGTGAACTTTTACAGTATGACAAATATTAAATATGTTTCCTAACCATATAATTAACTGATTACCATATGTATTGGAATCATGATTCCTCTAGTATAATATTCCACCCGATCACATACCTACAATGGGTAAAGCAGTTGTTGTGATAACCTTAAAAGCTACACATAAAGCGGGGAATAACAAATACCATTTTAAGGACTTTGGTATGCACCGGCCAGGGGACAGAACCCATTGTTCACCCAACTTGGGCGAACGCTCACCACTAAGGCCAAAAATGAGGTATTGCCATGCAGGGCACTAGGAAACAAACAGGTTTTTTTAAGAAGTAGAAAGAAATGTTGCATTGGGCAGCATATTAATTGTGGTTACAGATGAAAACCCCGACAGGTAGTGAAATACAACAGGCCTATTCTTTCACCGAACCTGCAGGGGTTTCTGAGCTTGAAAGATTCAGCAAGGCTGGAACAAGTTTCGAACCGTAGACTTCTGATTGATATACTCTTGCTCTAATCGATTAAGCTACCTGGTCAATTGCGCAACAGTAACATCCAAAACGAAATTGAGGGGAGGTTTTACTATATATACGAAAAAACCACTGTAGAATTCTCTATGGTTTCTCCTGTAGTAGGACATTGATCCTTAAATTGAGTGTTCGTACAACATGCGCATATCGTGCTGAGTTAACAACAGCCACTTTAGACTTGAGGATCTCTCTCCAACAAAACAACAAAAAATACGACTCCAATTTTTATATATAGAGTAACCTCCCTTTTTCGGATATATGTATATAATGTGTTGTAGGAAAATGGATTTACTGCTGATTAGGCAACGACAGTGTGATCGAGGGTCAAGGGTGCAAATATCGATATACCCTCTTCGTATTTTTGAACAAAAAATAATGTTGTTTATTGTTTATTGTCTTTATTATAATTGTTTTTCATAATTCTTTTCGCAATGTATGGTTTTCTGTACAGAAATGATTTAATAAAGCTATGGTCACATGAGAAAACAAAAAGCCCAATGGGTCTGTATTGCTCACCTTGTAATAATCTCACAATTGTAACTTCAAGAGTGGACTAAAATAATGCTACAGGCAAAATATCAGTGTCTTGACTGAAGTCATTCAAAAGAACCTATTAAAAGATTAAAACACATTTGACCCTTGTGACCTTAAAAGCCAAACATGGACATTACATTGAACAAACTCTATAGCCTTCCTTACAGAATGCGACTTGTCAAACATCACCCTAATGGCCCTAAACCTTTTGTTTATTTAAAGATTTATGCACTCTGGACCAGATGTGACCTTGAAAGTATATCAAGGTCATTCACATGAACAACCGATCACCCTGGAACCTTAAGTTATTCAGAAGTTGTTTGTGTTAGAAACAGAATTCTATCATAAAATGACTAGTGTAAGTCTAGGTTCGTTTGATGATCATGGATTCCTGTGTGAGTAATATGTATGTACGGGATGTAAGACGACACGAGGCAGTTGAATAAATGGATTCAAACACCGCACTTGTCAAGTGATGATTTAATGAAATATCACAATATGGTGTCAGATTGAGGCAAGTGCAACGACTTCCTGGTATTAAATAGGAACTGTAACATCGATTAGACCAGATGGCGAAGTTTCAGGCCCCAGAGAAGTTTGACTTCAGTCGTCCAAGCGGATGGAACGATTGGATTACGAGGTTCGCGCGTTACAGGACCGCAACCAAACTGCACAAGGATGAAGATGCGGTTCAGATAAGTGCATTGATTTATGCCATGGGCAATCAGGCAGAACATATATTTAAAACGTTTGTGTTCGAGGTGGCCGGCGATGAGGAGAAATACGAGAAAGTTATTGAAAAATTTAATGGCTATTTTATTCCGAAACGGAACATTATGCACGAACGGGCGCGTTTCCACATGAGGAGTCAGGCTCCTCGTGAGTCCGCGGAGGAGTTTGTCAGGGCATTGTACGAAATCGCAGAACATTGTGAATTTACTGAACAGGATGAGTTTGTGAGGGACAGGGTAGTTATCGGAATATCTGACCGGAACATTTCGGAAAAACTACAAATGAAGGGGGATTTGACTCTAGAGATGGCGTTACAAACAGCTAGACAGGCTGAAATATTGAAGGCTCAAATTAGAGACCAAGGTGGACACAAACAAGTGGAAGAGGTTAAAAAGGGCAGAAAACACAGAAAGAAAAGTTACTCCAATACCCAACAACACCATTCACAAGGTCCGTCGTACAATAACAATCGACAGACTCATTCTTATGAAAAGCGAACTTGTTCGCGTTGTGGACACAGTCATGGACAAGATAAATGTCCAGCTATGGGAAGGCGCTGTAGGTTGTGTAACAAGATGGATCACTTCGCGTGCTGCTGTCGGACGAAAAAGGGTGTTGCTGTAAAGGAAGTGACAGAGCAAGATGAATTCTTTCTCGGAGCCATAACTTCATGCTACAGTTATGAAAAAGCATGGGAGGTGACACTTAAAGTTGGTAACACACCAATAACATTCAAGATAGACACCGGAGCAGACACTACTGTTATCTCACAAGCGACATACAACAAGCTTAATCAACGTCCAGCATTGCGTCTCATCGGTTCTATACTTCAGGGTCCAGGAGAAGAAGTCCTTCCATCCCTAGGTAGATTTGAATGACATACTAAGCACAAGGGGAGGCAATTCAAATTCCCAATATGTGTGATTGGTGGAGACAACTCTAGTAACTTACTAGGAAGGAGTGTCGCACACCAAATGGGACTTATAATGAGAGTTGAAGCTGTTACTGATGACCTGTTTGGACCAACAGGACTGCTGGCGTGCGAGCCAGTCAGGATACAGTTAAAAGAGCACACATCTCCTTATTGTATTAGCGCCTCTAGGCGCGTACCATTTCCCTTACTCGAAAAGGTCGAAGACGAACATAACCGAATGGAGCGCGATGGTATCATAGAAAAGGTGACCGAGCTAACAGACTGGTGCGCCCCCATGGTTCCGGTGGTGAAAAAGACTGGGAAGATCCGTATCTGTGTTGACCTAAAAGGTTAAACGAGGCTGTAAAGCGAGAACATTTCATGCTACCAACCCTTGATGATATAGCTCCCAAGCTAGCAGGTGCCAAGGTGTTCTCCATTTGGACGCTTCGCTTTCCGTAGAGTGGCATTCGGAATAACATCTGCATATGAAATATTCCAGCGTTAAATGACAGAGTTGTTGACCGGTCTAGAAGGAGTTGAGGCGATCATCGATGACACGTTGATCTATGGAAAGACTCAAGAGGAACATGACGAGCGCCTGGCAAAGGTCCCAGATAGGATACGAGCATCAGGCCCTAAGCTAAACAAGGACAAGTGCGAGTTTGGAAAGTCCAAACTTGAGTACTTTGGGCATGTCGTGAGTGGGGACGGCATCAGTACCAATCCTGGACGCGTCGAGGCGATAAGAGGATTGGACGCTCCGAAAGATGTAACTGGGCTGAGAAGAGTTGTTGGTATGATCAATTACCTGGGAAGATTTATTCTCGACTTATCAACCATCATGCGTCCCATGACAGATCTACTTAAATCGGACATTGTTTGGCAATGGACGCCGCGTCAACAAGATACGCTCGACAAAATAAAGGGAATGTTGACGAACACTCCAACTTTGATGTTCTATTCTGTGAACAAGCCAACGATCATAGTGTAAGTCTAGGTTCGTTTGATGATCATGCGATTCCTGTGTGAGTAATATGTATGTACCGTATGTAAGACGACACGAGGCAGTTGAATAAATGGATTCAAACACCGCACTTGTCAAGTGATGATTTAATGAAATATCACAACTTTGTTGTTAAGTGTTTTTAAGACAAATAACCCCTGTGACCTTGCATATGAGCGAAGGTCATTCATTTGAACAAACTCCGTAGCCCTTTATCCCAGCATCTTACTGGCCAAATATCTTCAGCCTGTGCCTCTTGGTTATTTAGAGGAGGTTGTTTAATATTTTTAACATATTTGACCCCTATAACCTTGACAATAGGCAAAGGTCATTCATTTGAACAAACTTGGCAGCTCTTCATCCCAGCATGCACTAGCCAAATATTATCAGCATGAGTCTCTTGGTTTTTAAGAAGAAGTTGTTAAAAGTTTTTAACATATATGACCCCTGTGACCTTGAATATGGGCAAATGTCATTTCTTTTCGCAACTTTGTCAGGCTTCATCCTAGGAACCTATCAGCCAAATATCACGCCTCTGGGCCTTTTGGTTCATCAGAAAAGTCATTTAAAGGTTTCAAGAAATTTGACCCCTGTGACCTTGAATATTGGCAAATGTCATTTCTTTTCGCAAACTTTGTTGGGCTTCATCCTAGGAACCTATCAGCTAAATATCACGCTTCTGGGCCTTTTGGTTCATCAGAAGAAGTTGTTTGAAGGATTTAACAAATTTGACCCCTGTGACCTTCAATATAGGTCAAAATAATTTCTTTTCGCAAACTTTGTCAGGCTTCATCCTAGGAACCTATCAGCAAGATATCACGCTTCTGGGCCTTTTGGTTAACCAGAGGAAGTCGTTTAAAAGTTTCAACAAATTTGACCCCTGTGACCTTGAATATGGGTCAAGGTCATTTCCTTTTACAAACTTTATTGGGCTTCATCCCAGCAACCAACCTGCCAAATATCATGACATTTGGCTTGTTGGTTATTGAGAAGAAGTCGTTTAAATGGAAAAGTTGACGCCGGACGAACGACGGACAACGGACGCCTTGCCACGGCATAAGCTCACATTGCCCTTCGCTATAAATTGGTAAAAAAATGCATATTCATAGTTACAGATTTTGGCAGTGGTACGCGGATCCTTAAGCAATATTATCAAACTAGAATGGATACGCGTATCCGATTCAACCGGTTTGTCTATTCTTATATGCAATATTTGCGGGTATAAACACGTTTATGCAGGCCTTGCAAGGCTTTGTAACCTTGTGTATTTAAACCTCACGTTGCATAATAGAGGCGTTATATATACAAAATCAATATAAAACATCAATGCAATTCATTGTTGAACGTTTTGTATAGAGTATTCGGGCCATAGTTTTCCTTAGGCGGCAGTAATATGAGTTATAACGACAGCTATGAAATATATTATTGCGCTTATTTATCATTTAGTGTGTATAGTGTGCGTCATAACTTCAGTTTATTAGTTTTAGTTATTCCTTACAATTAAATTTTAAAATTCAGACAACACTTTGAAGTCAATACCTATATATTCTTTAATGACAAAAACATTTTTTTGGCACAAAACACAACATTGCGTTTAATTTCGCTGCTGAGCAATTTAGACCAATCACTAGTTAAAATAACAAATGTCGCGTCAAACATTGGGAGTTATGACGTCATCACTTTTTAAAAGGTTACACGATACGTTACCTGAAAAAATCTACCTTTAGAGGAATAGCTTACGCTGAATTACATAATATATAGAATGCAGTTGCCACTGTGTGTTTACTTTTGAGATTACCTGTTATCAGTTGAAGTAAAAATATCATAACAAAGATTATACGACTGAAATACTTGGCTCAAGTTCAAATGTGCAGGAAGAAGCAGATAACGGACCTATAAATCAACGAGATAGGTTGTAAACATAAATCTGAAAAATAATACATTATCTCCAATTATGTTATGTTGAATAGTAATCAAAGTTTGATAGAATAAAAGATGGAGATATGGAAGTGAGATATGAAATGCATCTTTGGCTTCTCTCACTTTCTTCACGTTCATTGATTTTGACCCCCCCCCCCCCCCCCCCCCCCCCCNTATCAGAATCGAATGTGGGGAACGGTAATATTGTCCAGATATAAAGGTGTTCTCACCTCTTCACGTCTGCATTTTAGGCTCTTTGAACGGACGTTATGTACATATCACAATTTATTTATTCATTTATGTGCACATTGTCATTGAGATGATTATCTTCTTGCTTAATGTACAATGGTGATGGTAAGCCCTTTTTTGTTGAATAATTATAATAAAACTATTATCCATGTGATGTTATACGCTTTAGAGTAATTTACAAATTATATAGGGCGCTATATAAATGTTGTATATTATCAATATATTTGACTTATCAATTAAAGCAAACATGCCCTTTGTTTCTGTTACAGCAAGTGAAGTGGTAACCATTACCCTTTGAAAACATTGCTAATATTATAACTATTTAGTTTTTATCTATTTATTTTGTAGATAAATTGAGACCAAATTAAACGACATTCACTACAGAAAAATTGTTTCTCCGTTTCTGCTCTAATATGACTGCAAATTGATAATTGATGAATGATCTCACAACTTTTTTTGGAAAAACTGTTTTCGAGAAAGATCTTTTGGCGGTGCGCCATTCTTATACATGTATGTGGCCGTTTTCAGTTGCGACCCGAAGGTACGTTTATACTCATGTGTTTCATGTTGAGTCAGTCGAAACCAGTCCATTTGTCAAAACTACGCTATTTCATGAGTATTGGGAGCTTGCGCGTGAAATTTAAACTTTAGGTATCAACTGACAACGATAACAAATGCAAATGCCACAACAGAAATGTCTGTTGCTAGTGCTAGGCCCAGAAAGTCTTGAATCAAGATATGATCATAAAAAAAATCTTACATATGAACAAGACATGTAAATACGCCTTCATATCTGCAAATACCAGGTAAGAAATATGTAAGAAATGTACACATTCACAAGACCAGTCAATACATCGGAGCATTACATATATGTTCACGAAAGCCATGTCGGCGATGCACCAGAACGCTACAAATATGTACACAAAATACACGTCGGTGATATACCACAACCCTACATATATGTACACAAAAAAAAATGTCGGCGATACACCGGAACGCTACATATATGTACACAAAATACACGTCGGTGATATACCACAACCCTACATATATGTACACAAAAAAAATGTCGGCGATACACCTAAACGCTACATATATGTACACAAAATACACGTCGGTAATACACCAGAACACTCCATATATGTACACAAAATACATGTCGGTGATACTCCAGAATACTTCATTTATGTACACAAAATAAATGTTGGCGATACACCGGAACGCAACATATAGGTTCACAAAATACACGTTGGTAAAACACCAGAACACTCCGTATATGTACACAAAAAATTGTCGGCGATACCCCACAACGCTACATAAATGTTGCACAAGACTCGTCATAAATACACTGGAATACGACATATCTATACACAAACAACACGTCGGCAATATAGCGGAACGCTACATATTTGTACTCACACGCCACGTCGGCAATATTCCGGAACACTTCATATACACCGGAACGCTACATATATGTTCTCACAAGACACGTCGGCAATGTACTGACATGCTGCATATATCTACATATACGAAACGTCTGTAATAAACAGGAACGCTAAATATCTGTACACACACGCCACGTCGGAAATATAGCGGAACGCTACATATATGTACCAACCCGCAACGTCGGCGATATTCCAGAATGCTACATATATATACACAAACAACACGTCGGCAATATAGCGGAACGCTACATATATGTCCACAAAATACACGTCGGCAATATACCGGAAAACTTCATATATGTACACACACGACATGTCAACAATACCCCGGAACACTTCATATATACCGGAACGCTACATATATGTACAAACACGCAACGTCGGCGATATACCAGAATGCTACATATATATACACAAAAGACACGTCGGCGATACCCCGGAGGCTATATATTAACCAACACAAGACGGCAATATACCGGAACACTTTAATTATATACACACACGACACGAGGGCAAAATACCGGAAAACTTTATATATGTACACAAAACACACGTCGGCAATATACATTAACACTTTATTTATGTACACACACGACACGTCGGCAATATACCGTAACGCTACATATTTGTACACACACGACACGTCGGCAATATACCGGAACACTTCATATATGAACACACACGATACGTCGGCAATATACATTAACACTTCATATCTGTACACACACGCCACGTCGGCAATATACCGGAACACTTCATATATGTACAAACACGCCACGTCGGCAATATACCGGAACACTTCATATATGTACACACACGACACGTCGGCAATATACCGGAACACTTCATATATGTACACAAAATATACGTCAGCAATATACATTAACACTTCATTTATGTACAAACACGACACGTCGGCAATATACCGGAACGCTTCATATATACCGGAACGCTAAATATCTGTACACACAAGCCACGTCGACTATATACCGGAACACTTCATATATGTACACACACGACGCGTCGGCAATATACATAACACTTCATATATGTACACACGACACGTCGGCAATATACCGGAACACTTCATATATGTACACACACGACACGTCGGCAATATACCGGAACACTTCATAAACGTACACACACGACACGTCGGCAATATACCGGAACGCTCCATATCTGTACACACACGCCACGTCGGCAATATACATAACACTGCATAAATGTACACACACGACATGTCGGCAATATACCGGAACATTTCATATATGTACACACACGACACGTCGGCAATATACATTAACACTTCATAAACGTACACACACGACAACTCGGCAATATACCGGAATACTTCATTTATGTACACACACGACACGTCGGCAATATACCGGAGCACTTCATATATACCGGAACACTACATAAAAAACCACGTCGGTAATATTCAGAAACACTACATACATTTACACACATGACACGTCGGCAATATACTGGAGCGCTACTTATATATATACAATCAATACATAAAAACTGACATATAAAACGTACAAACGAAACATTTACCCGACACTCAGAAGTCACACACGAAACATTTACCCGACACTTAGAAGTCACACACGAAACAACGTCGGCCATAGTTCGGCAAGCTACATATGACATAATATGAAATTTCAGGGAGTTGTACGTAGTTTTGTTGTGACTGGCATACACTTACGGTCAAACGAGTCCATCCTCTAGCAGAAATTACGCGATTTGTCCCACATCTCTACAACAGGACAGTCTGGAGTCGAATATTTGATCATGGCGGCTAGACGAGTGACCTGTCACGTACATGTATACAAGCAGGTAACTATACCCGTTTGTAGCCCATGACGATTTATGTGTACTGATAACCTTCTTGGAAGTTGATCACGGGAACCTACTACTGTCAATGTAGACTGTTTACGTTTGAAAACACTTTGTACTTTCGCTTTCATTTTCTGTGTAGTACATGTATAGTGCTGTTTTCCGGTTTTCATAACACTTTGTACTTTCGCTTTCATTTTCTGTGTAGTACATGTAAAGTGCTGTTTTCCGGTTTTCATTTTCGGCGTACATGTACATAATGCTGTTTTCTATATTCTTTTATAATGTTTTGTAAATGCATTAAGTATTTTTTTTCTATCAAAATATGGGTTATGATAAAACGCACAACGACGCAATCGTTATGTGTCGTCTACTCGTGTTTACTTTGTCCGTCATTATATCACTATACATTTTTTCAAAATACCAATGGATACGAGGAGACATTTGAACGATCAAAATGTCAAATGTTAAATGTAACATTGTAAACATTGTTTGGCTTTAAGTCACTTCATTTTCCCCAAAAAGTCATTGACAAATTATGATATTATTTCTAATTGATAACCGGATCAAGAAATTAGGTTTGAGCACAAAATCCATGCTTGAGCTTGAGAACGGTTTCATGAATACGGGCCCTGAACTGTCAGAATAGGAACAGCTTCCCACAGAGTTATAGACTCAACCTACAATTAAAGAACTCGAGGTCAATTTAGTTGAACACAAGAAAAATATGGATATGAAATATGACCATTGGCAAATTATAAGTGTTTTATAATAAAATTGAATGTTAATTTATTAAATTATGTATTGTATCATTGATATGGATATAGAGGCAGAAAACTGTCTGCGTCCATCGTTTTTCCTATTAAATCCTATTAAATATATTGCAATGATTTTATAAAAAAAAATTGGGTGTCGTCTGCTAAGCAGGTTGAGTTTCATTTACTGAAACGCACTGACGTTTAACAACTCGTAAGTAACCAACTGTTTGTGGGTGTTTTTTCGGATACCTACTTATTTTGTATCGAACCCGAAGGAGGAGATTATTTTCAAATATTTCCATTTGCTCTGCATTGCCACCTTACCAAACAAAATAGAAAGGTATCAGATCATAATACTCAAATAATTCCCTTTAGTGTAGTGATATGAAGAACATGTTTGTGACGTCGTGACTAAATGACGTCGTCGTTTTGAACGATGATCAATGCAACTCGCTACAATTCATGTAGTTGTGTTGTATAAAAGGTAAATATTTTCAGGGTGGAATTTATTGATTAAATTGTTGAAATTAAATTGATCATTTTGTGTTTATTTCCACGAACTATATTTTTTTGCCGGGAACGGTTGCGTGTTCTCGTGACGTCACAAGAACAGGTCAAATTGACAGACAGCGCAAAATTTGACTTTGAAATGCGATAACAGGTTGGAAATCTAAGAAAAACTTAAATTAACAAGAGGCCCGGAGAGCCTGTATCGCTCACATGAATATGTTTAAAACAATTGGTATGAAGTAAAGATATAGCACTTAATTGTAGGTGCTGTAAGTACATATGAGATTTCAGAAAGATCCATCCAGTACTTGAGAACAAACTTCAAACAGAGCCCCACCCCTATTCCCCTAGGGGGTGATACCCACCAATTATACAAATTTGAGTCCCCTTGGCCCAAGGATGCTCCAGACTAAATAAGAATAAAATCACTTAATCCCGATGGTCGGAGAAGGATTTTAAAGGATTTACCTCTATTTCTCCTTTTGGGCCCCGCCCTTCTGCCACCTGGAAGACCAAACCCACTGCTTATACGAAATTAAATCCCAATGGCCCAGGGATGCTCCATACTAAATTAGGATAAAATCCCTTAATACCAATGGTAGAAGAAGGATTATGTATGTGTGTGTCTATGTATGTTTCTATGTATGTATATGTGTCTATGTATGTGTTAATGTATGTATCTATATATGTGTCAATGTATGTGTTTTTGTATGTATCTATGAATGTGTTTATGTGTGTGTGTATGTATGTGTCTATATATATATGTATATGTATGCGTTTATGTATGTGTCTATATGTATGTGTCTATGTATGTGTCTATGTATGTGTCTATTTTTGCGTCTATGTCTATGTGCATGTGTCTATGTGTATGTGTTTATGTATGTGTCTATGTATTTGTCTTTGTATGTATCTATGTTTATGTGTGTATATGTATGTGTTTATATATGTGTCTATGAATGTTTCTATATATGTGTCTATGTAAGTGTCTAAGATTATATGTGGCTATGTATGTGTCTATGTCTATGTATGTGTCTATGTATGTTTCTATGTATGTTTCTATGTGTATGTTTCTATGTATGTGTCTATGTAAGTGTCTATGCATGTGTCTATGTGTATATTTCTATGTATTTATCTATGTATGTGTCTATGTATGTATCTATGTTTATGTCTATCTATGTGTCTATGTATGTGTCTATCTATGTGTCTATGTATGTGTCTATGTTTGCGTCTATGTCTATGTGTTTATGTATTTGTCTTTGTATGTATCTATGTTTATGTGTGTTTATGTATGTGTCTATGAATGTTTCTATATATGTGTCTATGTAAGTGTCTATGTCTATGTATGTGTCTATGTATGTTTCTATGTATGTGTCTATGTGTATGTTTCTATTTTTTGTCTTTGTATGTGTCTATGTATATTTCTATGTATTTATCTATGTTTATGTGTGTCTATGTATGTGTCTATGTTTGTGTCTATCTATGTGTCTATGTATGTGTCTATGTGTATGTTTCTATTTTTTGTCTTTGTATGTGTCTATGTATATTTCTATGTATTTATCTATGTTTATGTGTGTCTATGTATGTGTCTATGTTTGTGTCTATCTATGTGTCTATGAATGTGTCTATCTATGTGTCTATGCTTGTGTCTATGTTGTATGTGTCTATGTATGTGTCTATGTATGTGTCCATGTATNATGTGTCTATGTATGTGTCTATGTATATTTCTATGTATTTATCTATGTATTTGTCTATGTATGTATCTATGTTTATGTGTGTCTATGTATGTGTCTATGAATGTGTCTATCTATGTGTCTATGCTTGTGTCTATGTTGTATGTGTCTATGTATGTGTCTATGTATGTGTCTATGTATGTGTCTATGTATGTGTCTATGTGTATGTGTCTATGTATGTGTCTATGTATGTGTCCATGTATGTGTCTATGTATGTGTCTTTGTATGTCTCTTTGTATGTATCTATGTTTATGTGTGCATATGTATGTGTTTATATATGTGTCTATGAATGTTTCTATATATGTGTCTATGTAAGTGTCTATGTCTATGTATGTGTCTATGTATGTGTCTATATATATGTCTATTTATGTGTCTATACATGTGTCTATGTATATGTCTATATATGTGTCTTTGTTTGTGTCTATGTATGTGTCTATGTTTGTATATATGTTTATGTGTGTCTATGTATGTGTCTATGTATGTGTCTATGTGTATGTGTCTATGTATGTGTCTATGTATGTGTCTATTTATGTGTCTATGCATGTGTCTATGTATGTGTCTATGTTTGTGTATGTGTCTATGTTTGTGTCTATGTATGTGTCTATGTTTGAATCTACGTTTATGTGTGTCTATGTATGTGTCTATGTATGTGTCTATATATATGTCTATTTATGTGTCTATGCATGTGTCTATATATATGTCTATTTATGTGTCTATACATGTGTCTATGTATATGTCTATATATGTGTCTATGTTTGTGTCTATGTATGTGTCTATGTTTGTATCTATGTTTATGTGTGTCTATGTATGTGTCTATGTATGTGTCTATGTATGTGTCTATGTATGTGTCAATATATATGTCTATTTATGTGTCTATGCATGTGTCTATGTATGTGTCTATGTTTGTGTATGTGTCTATGTTTGTGTCTATGTATGTGTCTATGTATATGTGTTTCTATGTATGTATCTATGTATGTGTCTATGTTTGTATCTATGTTTATGTGTGTCTATGTATGTGTCTATGTTTGTGTCTATCTATGTGTCTATGTATGTGTCTATGTATGTGTCTATGTATATTTCTGTGTATGTATCTATGTTTGTGTCTATGTATGTGTCTATGTATGTGTCTATTTATGTGTCTATGCATGTGTCTATGTATGTGTCTATGTTTGTGTATGTGTCTATGTTTGTGTCTATGTATGTGTCTATGTATATGTGTTTCTATGTATGTATCTATGTATGTGTCTATGTTTGTATCTATGTTTATGTGTGTCTATGTATGTGTCTATGTTTGTGTCTATCTATGTGTCTATGTATGTGTCTATGTATGTGTCTATGTATATTTCTGTGTATGTATCTATGTTTGTGTCTATGTATGTGTCTATGTATGTGTCTATTTATGTGTCTATGCATGTGTCTATGTATGTGTCTATGTTTGTGTATGTGTCTATGTTTGTGTCTATGTATGTGTCTATGTATATGTGTTTCTATGTATGTATCTATGTATGTGTCTATGTTTGTATCTATGTTTATGTGTGTCTATGTATGTGTCTATGTTTGTGTCTATCTATGTGTCTATGTATGTGTCTATGTATGTGTCTATGTATATTTCTGTGTATGTATCTATGTTTGTGTCGATGTATGTGTTTATTTATGTGTCTATGTATGTGTCTATCTATGTGTCTATTTATGTGTCTATGTATGTGTCTATGTATGTGTCTATGTATGTGTGTATATTTGTGTCTTTATATATTTTTATTGAAGTGTCTATGTTTATGTGTTTATATATGTGTCTATGTATGCGTTCATGTATGTGTCTATGTTTGTGTTTATGCATTTTATATGTATATAGGTCTATATTTGTCCATAAATGAAAATGTAAGTGTCTTTGTATATTTATGAATCTATGTTTATGTTTGTGTCTATTTATGTTTTATGTATGTGTCTACATATGTGTATATGTATGTGTTTATGTTTGTGTCTATGTATGTGTCTATGTATGTCTCTATGTATGTGTCTATATATTTGTATATGTATGTGTCTATATATGTGGCTATGTATGTGTCTATTTATATGTCTATGT